GCGCGCTACCATGCCCGGCTAATTTTTGATTTATTGTAGAGATGAGGTCTCCCCAAGTTGCCCAGGCAGGTCTCGAATCTGCGGGCTCAGGCAATCCACTCACCTCAGCCACCCAAAGCGTGGGATTGCAGGCTGAGCCACCGAGCCCGGCTTATAGTTATTAACTGGTTAAAACTCAAAGCCCTGAAATTAAGGAATCTTTGAACTTCTAAAGCACTTAGTAATTATCTTCTGAAGGAATGAATGAATAAAAACAGGCATCACATAGTGACCCAAGTCAAAATTCATAGGAACAACGTTCTGTTCACTGAGTGGACACAAGATGGAGGATTTCCAGGCACAGGAGGCATTTCTGCAAATGTAGAGGGGTATGAGGAGAAGTCAGAAGCTGTAAAGGGCTAAAAATGGAAGATGTAATACCTCATGGAAGGTGTATTACACTTCATGGACTTGTGACCCCTAGACCCTTCTCACCAAGTGCTCAATTTAATCAGCTTGAGCATTTATTTTCATAGGAATGTAGCACCAATTTTACTATGAAAGCCGAAGGAAGCCTAGGGTTCGAGTCACAGAAAATCACCTGACTGCTGTTACAACTCTAGATTTCAAGGTAAGCAAAATATCCTTTTGTTGGTTATCTCCACTGGAATCCTAGAGAGCGATAGATGAGGTTATTCTGGCTAAGAAAATTAATCTAGGCAGAAATTATTGATTCCCAATATATTCAAGGGCTAACTTGTTCTCATTTGTAGGAAAGGAAGGAAGTCTTTTCTACATCTGGTCTGTTTTCTTGCTGGGGAAATTCCTGCCTCTGAAACTCTGTGGGAGCAGCATAGTCATGTCTATATCCTCCTTGCAGACCACCATGTGGGTCCACAACATTTGCTCATAAGAACTGTGGTTGTGTGTGGTTGTAGATGCAGATGCTTCTGCTCTTCTTGGGAAATGGTGCCTTTGCCAGGGTCACTAAAGAAAGGCCAGCAGAGGCTGGGCTTGGTGGCTCAGCCTATAATCCCAGTACTTTGGGGGGCCGAGGCGAGTGGACTGCCTGAGACAATGGGTTCATGAGACCAGCCTGGACAACTT